TTCTTCTTGTTGTGGCTTTGATAGCCAACGGTTTAGTATGTACAGCCATATTAATAAACAGCGACCTACGGAAGAGAACTTCTAATACACTCCTATTGTTGCTATCAATGAGCGACTTCTTTGTGGGCTTAGCGGTTCAGCCCATGTACTTCATCAGGCGCTTATTAGAGCTTCACGATCGCTACGTTTGCTGGGTGTTGGTGACCTACAGAGTTCTTTGGCATTTATCGATTGGAACATCTTTTCTCATTCTTTGCTTTATTTCGTGCGAGAGGTACATCGCATTGTTCTTCGCATTCAAATACAAGCAGATCATATCGACCCCGCGCCTTCTCTTCTTTACCGGTTTTTCCGTTATCTCCTGGACATTGTTCGTGATTTCACGATTCCTTGGTGTTGATAGTGGAAAATACTACACGGCCGCCACATCGTTCATCATCATATTTGTCACTATAATTATTTTTGTCTACTTTCGTATCTACAGGCTCGCTCTTCGGCATCATTCTCAAATACACTCACTGCATCAAAACGCCAGTACAGTAGCGAAAGAGCGCAAAGTCACGAAAACAACAGCTTATATCATCGGATCAGTTTTAATATGCTACTCCCCACTCCTGATATCGCTAGTGGCTGTCAAGTTCTTTGAAGACAAGTTGTTTCAATACTATGTTTTTCCAATAACAGACTGCATGGTTTTCTGCAATTCGTCACTGAATCCGCTGATATATTGCTGGCGGAATGCCGAATTAAGACGGTGTATCGCTAGGCTGACTGGAATAAAAGCGCGTGAGGAGATATCATGGTGCTCTGGTGGCGTTCACGAAATTAAAGAAGCTGTGTCATGAATTTTATCAAAATTTTAAAAGTAGGGACTGCCGGCAAATCCCGGGGGGGTACTCAACAAATGTTTATACGGGGAGGCTCTGCCACGAGGTCCAACCCCTTACCCTTTTATATACCATTTTACACGAAAAAGGTGACCCTTTTGTATACCTTCTATTGACAAATGGCACCCCTTTCATATACCTTGTTTAGAACTTTGAATCCCTTTTAACTGCTGTACTGAAATGCATGTCTTTTACATTGGAATCAGTGAAAAAAAATAGAACGTTGTCTCGACTTTATAAAGCCATAAAATTCATCTGTTAGCCTTTTTGGGCCGTTTCACAGACCCAAATGACAGATTTCCCTACCCTTTTATATACTTCAGCTAGTGAAATCCTTACCCTTTCATATACCTGAAGCCTGAAATAGATAGGTACCCCTTTCGGGCGGAGCCTCGCCGTATAGGCCATCATAGGGAGTACCCACCCTCCCCCCTTCCCCGAGGCGCCAAATTGAGTGAAACATAAAAAAACGCTCAGAACGTTAAAAGAAGGTATAAACAACACAGCACTACAAAAGGAAGCACGGATGGACAAACTTCAACTAAGAAGATTAAGACGGATTGCAGTTGTGGGTTTTTGAAAACTTGGCCCAAGCCTAACAGTTTTTCAAAGTTCATTTTTGTTGTTCCAAACGTTTGATATAATGCTTGCGACACCCATTTCTTCGACAAGAAGCTGTGATTTTGTCGTTTACAAGAAGGTTCTCGCTAACGTTAAGTTCTACATGGCGCATAAGGAACTTAATTGACAACATTAAAAATGTTAATATACTTAATAATTTATTAATACTAAATAAAAAAGACAGCTGTGTCACAACCACTTTGAGCAACATGTTTTTTTCTTTCTTTTTTAATCGTTCTTATTCGTCCCCCATAACCCTTCTCCAGTCGTCAATTTTGGCATGCGCTTGAAAAAAATTTCGGTACATGCAAACATTTGTCTACGAACGATCCTTAGCGATTTCAGGAGCCAACACAAATTGCTTCGCAAAGAAATTTCTCCTCGGGAAAGTTACATTAGGCCTAAAGTTTTACTGGAAAAAAAATGAAACGAAAAGGAGAGGCGAAACAACAGGAAATTTAAACTTAAGATTTCCCATTCCACTTACGACTACGTCTGTCATTTTCGATTTTTTGACAAATATAGTGAGTGTAGCTTCCTGTAGGAAGAGGTGTGCCTGAAAATGCCAAGGTTGATAGAAACAAAACAAAAATATACCGTAGACTGTCGCTTTATAATCCCTAGGCTTATCTATGTTGTTTTTTTTTCGGGGGGGGGGGGCGGATTTTAGACGGAGGATCTTAGGGGACTTATAACCGGAATAAAAAGAGCGCTTCTATTCGCAATGCAGATCAGAATACCTTTTGTATTTACTGGTTTTTAATTAATCCTCAAAACGCCATAATAAACTGAATTCATTTCAATACATTTAGAGGGGAGCTTAAAATCGGATATTTTTTTTCTACAGGTAGAAGAGCCTACAACTGGTATTTGGGGTCTCATAATTGAGCAGTTTATACGCTAGCTATATAAAACACATACGGGGGAAATTAGTCATGGCAGGAGGGTTCCTTGTGATGGTTGCAATAAGAAAATTCACAGTTTTTCGCAATTGTTGGTTTCCAACTAAAGAGAAGAGAAGCTTTTTTACTGGTGGACTTAGTTCAGTGGTGCTAGCGTAGGCAAACAAGAGGAAAATAGCCGTGGGAGATGGGGGGGGGGGGACAAACCTCCAAACCCCAATAATTATATAAAAATTAAAAATCTTATTAGTTGCTCCGTACCTTTTCTATAAAAAAAGTGTGGATTAAAAGTTTAAGTTTTTTTAAATTAAACCTGGGGGGTAAATTTTTTAATAACTTT